ACAACACTCCATAAAAGAAATTAACTTCCATGCTCTTATCAGACTGAAATTTCTTTTCCACTCCATGAGTGTTCTAAAATCAGAGCTGATAATCAATGTCTATAACACAAGAACATAAACATTTAACCACCATGATAATCATCATTTAGCTACATTTGTGCAAAAACCCGAGTTGCAATAACCCGAGAGCAAGACATTATAGTAAAAAAGAATGATGGGATTTTGATTTTTAACGATGAAAAATGGAGATGTTGCCTAACATTCCTGCTCCGGAGATCTGCCTTAATGTATTGGCAGTCTCTTTTGCTGTTGCCTGTCCACTAATGTAGGCAATCAACGGTGTGTTTCCCGGAAATATATCGTCTCTTTGGTAGCTTCTGGCAGTTACTGAGAAATTCCTCAGAACCTTTCTCAACAACTCCTTCCATTATCAGTGTTTTGAGTTTCATCACATTTAATCTCCACCGGATGAAAAGGTACCTGTTTGATCGTGTTGAAAAGGAAGAGAAGTATCAATTAGTATTCAGAAACCCTAAAGACTAAATCCCAAGTAAAACAGAAGCCCGTTCTTTTCTAAAAAGCCTTCTGCGACTCTTCATCTAATAATCTGTGCGCTTATTCGAAGGTTCACAAATGACCTATGGTTAACTTTGCCTTTTAACAGAAAAATGATGAAACAAGTTTTGCCCTCTAACTTCGCCTCGGTCAGTAGGCAATAGGAACCAACAGTGACTCTAATACTCTAGTTCATGCCTTAAAAATAAAGCTAAAGCTTATGCGCAAAGATGAAAAAGGAACAATTATTCGAATTGTAATGTCAAATCGTACAAAGGACGCATAAAGAATATAAGATTGAAAATTAAACTCGAATGATAAAATCTTTCAGACACACCTGAGAGCCTGCGATCGAGATGCAAGGAGAGGAATAACTTGCATTCTTGTGGAGTTTCTACAATACATTAAATGGCAACGAAGACCCCTCATCCGAAGCTTATGCTTCATATCATCAACTTTCTTTGCCCGCAATCCCAAAATTCAGCAAATTTGGATATTTTGCTTGATTAAAGGAAAGAATATAGTGGTTTCCTAAAACTTATATTCACCTTACTGGGATCCTTTATCAAGTAGGACAGGCAATGGGAATTGCTCGATTTTACATCTTGAATGGTAGAGTTTCTCTCCACCTTCAGATGTATTCATCAGCTTCCAAATGATCTTCTTCAAGCCATCTGTTCCCCATCGGTAATCAATGTGTCACGTAACCTGGATAAAACACTACATTACCACTACCAGGGACGTAGCTAGGATTTCAATTTTACGGGGGTGGAGGGGGGCCAAGAATTTTTTTTTTTTTTAACTAAGAAGATCGAAAACGAAGATTTTGAGTACCAAAATAAAAAAATTAGATTAACCGATCAAAAAGACAATCAGTTTGTCGATATAAAAATAATATGTCCATCAATGTGTCTAACGCTATACAAATTGAAAATATGAATGATAGATGGACATAAAAAAGATAAAAAGTAAACTGCCCATCTATGTAATAGATGGTAGAGATGGTTTGAACATCTAAAATTGGTCTCTCCTTGTCCTCATCATTTCAAACTCGTCAATAAGAGAATCTAATGGAAAAGTATCAACAATCTCCTTCTCTATATACACAAGCATGGTACTGGACAAAAAATCATCTTCCATTCTATTAGGCAACCTTATCTTAATGACACTCATAGCCGAAAATGCACGTTCTGTAGTTGTTGTTGAAACTGGAAGAGTCAAGACAAGACGAATCATTCTACCAACAANTATTGCAAGAAACAAGTCAATTTTGCAATGATATTGCAAAATGATAGGATCTTTTTGCTTAGTGTGGGTATACTTTTGGGTAATTGATTCATAAATGAGTCATTTGCTTTTGGATTGGATTTTGGCTATTTATTTATTTAAGTAATTATTGGATTTTTTGTTTAGCTCTAAGATTTTTGTATGGTTGAATTTTGAAGTGTAAGTTATTGGGTCAATATTTATTAATGGAAAAAAATTCAAAATTTTGTGGGGACGAGTCAAAAATTTTGCGGGGCAAAATTGAAAAATACATTACAAATTAATTAGGAATAGTGAACCAGCGAATAATGTTGGGAGGCGGTCCCCCCACCCCCCTACCTCCATCTCTACCACTACTACAGATCAAAGCATCAAAATCGCTTACTTTAATATTCCCTTCAAAAATTCAGTAAATTCTGGCATTGGCATAGCTGTTGATAACGCGAATCCCGATAATCTTTCAATTTGTAGATCTAACTTGATGGCCTTAAAAATTTCTTACACTATTTGAATCATTTTCTTTTCAGGAGCTCCATTGCTATCATAACAATCTAGTGCTATAACAATCAATTTATGCCTCCGTCTCAACATAGGATACTTGCTTGGAACATTTTGAACTGTCCGATCACCTTCGGTAACCTATGCGCCTGACTCTTGCTTCATTTTGTTCAAAACTCGCTTAACTTGGTCCTTAAGCTTCATATCATCACCAGCTGCAGGGGTGGACCCAGCACCCGGTGGCCGCCCGTGCTGGATCCGCTGGAACAATATTTTTTGTTTTGACAATGAATAAATTTTTGAGATGATATACCTGATAATTTCTTTTAGTTTCAAACATTTATTGTAGTTCAACTGATTAGAGCTCCTATATTCTTATAGGAAGTCTCAGTTTTGATTCATTTGCCACCCTTTTTATTGTGAAAGATTTTTAATTCTTTAATTTTTATGAAAATTAAATAGGATGAGGAGAGGAGAACCGAAACCTTGACCTCTCTTTAGGTCATTGAGAACTTGATCATTGTGGTATTTACTGAATTTGAAACTAAACTAACCAGAATAATATATATTACATTTTAACAAGTTCAATGCAATTCTAAAAATTTGATTTCGTGTTCTTCCTTTGAATTATACAAAACTTGACCATAATATTATTTGGTGAATATTGCTAATTTTTACAACAAAATTATATATGTTCAGTTTGAACAAAATAATTGTTATATTTAAATTTTAGATTTTGTTTGATT